CTGTTTTTGAATGTAACCTGTTTTTTCTGAGTACCATTGATGAGGTGTTGGGCATTCTTATCTTTTTTCTAGGATTTCTCTTCTGGCCAATAGTGTTCCCAACATTGTAACCTCCTTCCCCTACAGAGATAGATTTCTTATCTCTACAAACCCAAGATCTTCTTCACCTCATATTCCTCTTGTCACTTGACCTGGAATGGCAATGGTGGTGATCATACAGGATGGGGTATGTTGAATGCACTAGGTAGTTTGGGAAGAGAAAGGTATGGTATAATATGAATAATGTAGAACAAATGCATGAATTCCATGGGATTGACTTGGGCCATGACAGAGAATGCCTGACTTCATCTAAGTTCGTTTAGGTTCTATTCCTGACTCTTCACAAGCACATACACACTTTCTGGTCCATATGAAGGGATAATTCTTATTGCTATCAACAATCTGCAAAGCTGTTGTAATTGTGCTCTGCTCCATTTTCTTCAGTGTGAAAACTTGAAATTCCTGGACTAATTTGTCCACATAAATACAAAGGAGATTATACAGGGATAAAAAAACAACTGATGATAATATCTGTAGTTGAAATAGTAACAGACATAGCATCTTAAATATTGCTCAAGGATGTCTTTGATTTGGTCAGTTTGTGCAGTTTGACTTGGGAAAATGGACAGTGCAAAGAGCAACAGAAGTTTTCCTAGAATCACACAGTGAACTGTGCACCCCTATTCAAATTATGAGATCTCATATGTGTTAAATCTTGAATGAATAAAATGTTCTCCTTGATATATTGATATTACACACCTGCAGGATATACCCTCTAAATTTATTGAATGGCAAATAGATTCAACTTCACTGAAGCATTCTTCCAGTTAATAGAATTTAAGGGGGGGGGATACAAAAAAATCAGTCTTGATTGAGTTTTTTTATAAGAGGTATTTCAAGGTTTGGTGTGTTGAATGGGGCTGCTTGAGGTTCTTTGCTCACTTTCTAATGCTTCTTTGATAACCACAAATTCCTTATCCTTATTAGAAGATCACTATGATATACAGTCAGGAACTGATCTATGAAGTCTCACAACATATTTTTTATGAAGTGTTGGAAGTTGACCGAAGTATCACATAATCCAAAATCTCACAATATATTCAGAGAAAGTATATCTGATCTGGAATTTGGTTTTCCATTTGCCTCCTTTTATACAAATGTTATACATATGTTTATACATATAATTTAATAAAGCTAGTAAATGCAAAATGAATGGGTACAAGAATTAGTAATTTGATACCTGGTAATTGTTACATCAGTGCATTTCTCCAGACTGCCTTTTGACAAACAAAATTGGGTGTGAAAATAATGGGCAAAATGAACTCCTTTTTCTATAGCTGTGGGACCTACATCTCTGATTCTGGGAATAATAAAATTGACCTGTTGGTATATTAGTCCTAAGATCAGCTTTATGGCACATAGATAAAGCTGGGAGGAAAGGTATAAGTGATCTCTTTTTTTTAAATCTCAAAACATTTGGTGGGTAGAGTGATCTGAATATCTTTCTCTGTGGATTAATGTACTAGTATCTGAAGAAATGAAATTTACCCTTTTCTCAGTATTGGGATTGTGGTAATCAAACCCTGGAGCATTTGAAAAGGATTAACTTTGGTTAGATAAAATTGTAACTACTTAATATGAACTTGAATCATAATTACAAAGATTAGGATTATAGATCCAAAGCCTATGGACAACTGTCAGTGCCATCGACCACAGTCTGCATCTCCATCAGCCTTTGACCCAGTTTATGAGTAGAAATTGAGTTCCAGGTTCCTGAAATTGTTAGAGGTTTCTGAAACTATCAAGGCTAAGCAATAATTGAAAGTTGTTCATCTCTCTGAGTATAATAGGAATAGAAAACTGCAAATATTAGCAAGAAAGAAGACTTAGCTTGAAGATGTTATCCATATTTCTGCTTTCCTGCTCTCTGGCACCTCCATTTTCTGACTTAGCTGAGTTAAGATAAAAGATTCATATTTTTCTGAAAGACAAAGTACAGTTTGTTCTGGCAGCCCATAGTAAGACACATGCTTACTTTTCAGGGCCACATCTTTTCTTTTTTGGGAAATTATAGGTGTGTTCCACCCAGCATCATGGACTCTGCTACTGTAGACTCAGACACAAAGTTTTTAAAATAAAAGTATGTAGGTATGTACATATGTTTGTATGTATAGGCATTTTCTCATTGGGCACTCTAACCCTCCAGCTGATCTTTACTATAAACACAACCATATGAGTAGTTAAAGTGTGGGTGTTGTCTTGCCTCTTTGTAATACACTTCATCAATTAAGCCTTCCTGAAATTGGACCACTAATGTATCACTCATTCAGCTTTTAATCTAAAGGCACAGGAATACAGTAGTCGACACAGACTTGTGCTCCTGTTGTAAACATTGAAGGTCTATCCATATTAGCCTTTGAGGAAGAATCTTCAAACATTCTCATAAGGCCAGTGAAATTTGTTAAATAAGGAAATGCTTATTTAGTTCCCAAACTCCCAATCCAAGATCAGTTAGTTGGGAATTCATCACTTCATATTAGAAATGTAGTAATGTAATTATCCTGGAATCCTTTCCCAATTTTTTTTGTGAAAAACTTGGTATTTCAGACAAGTTAGAGAATGAGGCAGGAGGAGTTTAAGCATTAAGCTGACTCAATAGATGCTGCATTGTATGACAAGTGCTGCTGTCCCAAAGAATTTGATTTTCTTGTATTAGACCCAACACACTAACTTTGTGCTTGGCTAAAGAAGTTCTCACATTTTACCAGATTCTGACAGGGTTAAATGAAATAGCTATTCAGTCAGTCAGTATCAAGCCATAAATTAATCCAGAGTTGTTGAATTAATGTTGAAAAAATTTAGACAAAAATAGTATTTCAATTCCAGCAAAGAATCAGTGTTTCAAGGGGTGAAATTTTGCAGTAATTAACATCAGTTCAAGTATCAGCAATGCTGAAGAGACTTTGAGCACCAGAGATAAATTTGCTCCAGCTAGGCATGAACTATCTAGGCAACCTTAACACAATCCCTCTATATTCTACATATATCCAAGTACAGCTAAAAGCGTACTGCTTTGATTTGGTCAAGGTTTATCTCCCTGCATCAGTCTTTTTGAATATTATCTCTCCCTGTGTTTACAGCATTGTCAGGGCTGGCAGAGTTTCTGTCTAGTTCCAGATCTAAAAAAAAAGTATTTTGCAGTCACAAATAGTAAGACTTACATATGCCTTCCAAAGATATATGGGGCTTGACTCTGTCATTTGAAATACCAGATTTTTCAGATGGATTTTCTTGTAGGGATGATGACAGTGGTGGGATTCAGCTGGTTCACACCACTTCGGCAGAACCGGTAGCTAATTTTTTGTTGCCCAGGCCCAGAATGGACTTCCAGAAGTGGCATCTACACAGAGAACCAATTATTCACATATTTGAATCCCACCACTGGATGATGATATGCCTGGCTGGAACTGACATTTCAGGTTGTATCTTGCTTTTTCTAGTTGGACTCAGCTTTAGTATAAATAAATTGTTACATTGCCTAGGGTTGGCCTGCTTTTCAATATTCTTTAATCAGGCTCTTAACCTGTGAAAATGATACACAATTTCTCTTTTTCTAGCCTATCACCCTGGCTCTTGTCTGCAAACTTTTTGATGACATTTTTATTTGCAGGATAGTTCAAAGCAGTGCTTTTTTGTCAGAAAAAAGGTGCCGGAACTCACATCTTGTTAATCTTTTATTTACTTTTCACATATAGTCAATCACTGTACACATACCCACACATGTCAGTTGTGTAATGAAACATAACGGTCGCTGCCCGCAGTAAGCACTCAGTGTGCGACCACACGACCAATCACAAGCCAAGCAGTGCCACAAGCCGAGCAGCCGGACAAAGTATGCATGCATCGGACTCTACACACAAGCAGCCTGCATGCACCATTTTAATGATTTTGCTTGACAGAGCAATTCAAGTCCACATGGACCAAACCTCAAATTTTCAAAAGTTACTTTTAAAACTTGGAAAATTTGTCAAAAAAAGGTGTCAGAACTCTGTTCCAGTGAGTTCTATGACAAAAAAAGCACTGGTTCAAAGCATATCTAGAATCTAGTGCTTAAATATAGCATTTCCTATCCTGCTACTTTCCAGATGTGTTGAATTACAAAGTTTTCATGAGTAGAAGGTGAGGCGCATCAGAAGCAAGTAGGCATAGCCAGTTCAGCTTTGATTCTTTATTATGTATATTACAATAATCATAAATAGATTTTTAGCAATCCATATCTTATATTGTTTTGAACAATTTCAATTTTCTTCATTAATTATAAACATTTTTGAGAGTTTCTAACCCATGTCTTTTCTGAGTTTTCTAATTAATCTTTTTTCCTTTTACTATTTGCTTTATGGTTGCATTTATTTTATTGAATGTAGTCTGTCTATAATAGATTTTAAGATGGGTGGTTATACAATAAATTAAAAAATAAATATTATTTGTCAAATGACAAATATAATGCAAACCATCTTGTGGATCAAGTTTCTCCAATTCTGTATTCCCAGATGGGTGAAACTAAAGTTCTCATTAGGCACATTCTATATCCATACTGATTGAAAATATTAGTTCTACTTTACCCCTTCAGGATAATATTACTTTGAGGGGAAGGCTACTGTAAGCAAGCCATAAGATATAAGCATGCACATATCTGACTCCAAAATATTATCCATTAAGTATAAACTCTTGAACTAAGAATAATATATCCTTCTAGTATCTGCCTACCCATGATCTCCAAAAAGAAACTATTCATTGTGGAAAAGTGTAAATTCAGTATCTGAAGAAAACTGGCAGGTTTCTGCTGGTAGCAGTCTATATTTCATTATTTAAGGCCTGAAATTGTGCAAGCCTTATAATCTCAAATGCATATAATTAATAAATGGAGAAATTAAATATTTATTTTTATTTCTATTATTCAGCTCCAAATGTGGCCCCTTCTGAGGTTGGAGGAGGAGGTGGAAGCAGTAGAGAACTGACAATAACATGGGTGGTAGGTATTATCCAGTGTATTTATTTATATTATAGAAGAATGTTTTAAACTGTCCAGAGTCACTTAGGTGAGATGGTCAGTGTAGATATTAAATAAATAAATAAATAAATAAAAGTTTAATTCTTCTGCTGAAGTAAATGGGTTTTGTGCATATAAAATAGGTCACTATAGAACGTAGGTTATTATAAATATTACTAAATAATTTGTGTACATACATGAGTTTTTATACTCATACTTATTTTTTTTAAGATTTAAAATTCCTTTTCAAAGTGGTCTTAAAGGCTAATCGGAATAAAATGAACAATGATGATGATGATATATATTGAATAAATATTGGGTATTTCTTTCTTAAGTCAGAACATTAAATTAGAATCTACACAAACGTTTAGCAAACGGTGCAGACCAGCTACAATATTGATTGCTAAAAAGTAGAGTCACATTAGAATTTTTCTTGATGAACATTCTATTTGGGTCAGTTAGGTTTTTTTCAGATCACTGTTTAAAGCAGGCATGTCAAACTGCTGGCCCACAGGCCGGATGCATCACAATGAAACCGCACCCACCCCATTGCCGGCAATGGGGAAAAAGTCACGATACGTCGCACAATGTTACATGACATCGCGAGTTTGACATGCCTGGCTTATGTTTTGCCAGAATAAAAAAAATACCTGGCATGTCATAAAAAATCATAAATATCTTGCAGCTTAGAGTTTACTTCCTGTAATCTCTGAAAATGTCAGTATAATGGAATTAAATGTGACATGACATAATGTTTTATTTTTTTACTCTTTTTATGCATGATCTTACAACTTAAAAAACAAGAATTCAGAGTCTAGCTATTAGATATGCTGCATATATTATTTACATATAACTTACCAAATATGAGTGACATACCACTAATTAGAAAATTGTCATATATTCCATACTTACCCTGAATACTATTCAGTCTTTTTTTAAAAAAATAAATATTGATTTTTAATATAATCACCTTAATATTTGGTAAACAGCATGTTGTCTGGGTTAGTATTATTAAAAACAATCAATAACAATTAATTTCTATAATTCTATAGTCCATATAATGGCTTTACTTGATTTCCTCTTCTTCCATTAATATCCTCTTTTGCCAACCTTAAATTAATACAGTTCTTATTATTTGAATAAATGACAATTAAATATAGACATTTTTCTCATGTTTCTGCAAATAATAACCACATCAATATAAAGCTTCTTTTCTAATTGCCTTGTCATAGATTCTGTTACAGAATTCTTATTTAAATTTGTTTTCCCAAAAATATTCAAAGCATTCTTACTAATTAAGATTTTCTCGAAATTAGTTACACTTAAGTATTTAAGTCTTTTTCTCATACAAGCCATCCCAACTTTTCCATTTCTCATATCTTAAAAAAAGAAAAAAAACAGAGAAAACATTTCTTTTATATAAACTATTAAGTATTCAGTTCTTGAAGGCATTAAGCGAGACGAGTGTTGAAACAGCAACAAGTTTATTTAACTCTGAACAGAAGCAGCTCAAGTAGCTGCTGTGCAGCTATTTATATGGTTAGCCTCCAGGCGGCAGACAATAGGTTTAAAGTAACAGTTTCCTGCCCAAAACCTAATTACCAGCCCGGAGACAGCAAGTCTGGCTTAAGTAACAGCAGCCGTTACATAACAACAGAATTTAAGTCAGACATTCAAACAAGTGATTAGACATTAAGCAAGTGATTCAAAACAGTTGTGACCAATACATAGATAGTTCAAACCCTTAATTGTTTGACATAATCTTGCAGATACTTAGGTGGCCTTCTTGACCATTCAGAACACCTAAGGGTTGCCGGAGTTCTCTGGTCTACCTGCTTGCCTGCCAGGCTGGGTAGACCAGGACTCAGAGGTTCAGTGGTGTTGGTTTGACTCGAGTCCCTTTGGCTGGCCAGTCCCGGTCAGCCCAAACCAAACTCCACTCGTGCAGCAAAGTCTGCAGGGTTGTCTCTCAGCGATGTTTGCCTGTCCTGTTCAGCCAATGCAGTCTGTGCGTCCGGAGGAAGCTCTACTATGGCCATTCCCCTGTCTCCTTGAGGGAGGGTTCTGTCATAGTGTGCAAACCCTTCTGTTGGACTGCTGTCATGTGGGCCCTGTGTGTGGCCCTCTTGGGAGTCCTGAGCTGGTGACTGATCCACCAGCCGCCGACGCAGCTGATCAATGTGCCACGAATGAGGACCACTCATCTTCAAGGACCGCCTCGTAGGAAAGTGGACCAGACACCTTTACAACCACTGCTGCCACCTACAAAACCCCTTGCCCGTAATTCTGGGTCCAAGCCCAGTCACCCACTTGCAGACTTCTGGGCGCCTTTGGCCATGCAAAGTCCGATGCAACTTGGTCGGGGTGGAGCCTGTCCAGCTTAGTGATCAAATGTCGGCCCCAACGTAGCTCAGCTGGGCTTCTGCCCATGGCTGTGCAAGGCTGGCAGAATAGAAAGTCTGCCAATCTGTGTTGCCAGTTTCCTGTGATAATCAGTTTTAGGGACTCCTTGGTTGTGCGGACCATGCGTTCCACTTGGCCATTCGAGGCCAGGTGAAAGGGAGCCTTATGAGGTTTGTCCTGAGGAAGGACTGGAATTCTGAACCAGTAAACTGAGCCCCATTGTCTGATACTAAGACGTCTGGAAGCCCGTGTGTTGCAAATATTCTGCACAGTTCCTGGATAGTCCTGGCAGTAGTCATATTGGGAACTGGTGCAACCTCTAACCATTTTGAATGGCTATTGACGACTATTAAAAACAGTTGTCCTTGAAAGGGCACGGCAAAGTCAATGTGGATTCTTGACCACGGTATGTGAGTGTCCTCCCATCGATGGACAGGGCTTGCGGCATCTCCAGTTTGGACTGTTGACACGTGATGCAACTATGTACTTGGGCCTCGATAGCCTTATCTAGCCCAGGCCACCAAAGGTAGCTCCTCGTGAGTGCCTTCATCCGGACTATTCCCGGATGGCCCTCACGCAGAGACTCAAGCACTCTGGGTCTTAATGAGCTGCGAACAATGACCCTACTTCCCCAAAGGATACACCCTTTATGAGCTGAAAGCTCATCTTTTTGCATGAAAAAGCTCCGAAATTCTGATCCTGGACATTTGTCTAGCCATCCTGTGTGCACCCAATTCAATACACGACTCAGTATTTTGTCAGCTGCCGTCTCAGCAACTACATCCCCAGCATGAAGGAGAGACTCTGGCAGATCCTGGACAGCCAGGATGCATGCAGCTGGAGCTGGAGCTGGTTCTACATATGGTAGAGGCAACCTACTAAGGCCGTCTGCATGGCCCATTTCTTTGCCCGGTTTGTAGTTGTAGGCTGACAGAAAAATAGACCACCTCAACATTCGAGGTGACAGAATCTGGGGTGTCTGTTTGTTCGTAGTGAACAACCCTAGGAGTAGCTTGTGGTCTGCAAAGACCGTGAACTGGCAACTGTACAAGTAGTCGTGGAATTTTTTTAACTCCAGCCACGATTGCCAAAGCCTCCTTATCAATTTGCGCTCTGCGGATGACAGGGTCCTAGAATAGTAGACGATGGGATACTGTTTCCCATCAGCCGACAAATGTCTCAACACAGCCCCAACCCCATATGGAGATGCATCATACACGGTGCAGACTGGCAGCCTTTCGTTAAAATGCATGAGTACAGAGTTCGAGGACAGCATTGATTTGACTGCTTGGAAGCTCCTTTCATGGACACTGGTCCACTTCCACTGGGCTTGTCTGTCCAAGAGTCGGTGTAATGGCTCTGCCACAGTGGCCTTGTTTGGAAGGAAGGCATGGTAAAAATTAAGAAGGCCTAAAAAGGCCTGAAGCTCTCCCTTGGACTTCGGGCTTGCAGCCTGCTAAATCGCTTTTAGCTTTGAGTCCGCCGGATGGATGCTGTCGGCTTCGATGCAGAACCCCAAGAACTCCGTTGACTGAACCCCAATCTTGCATTTTTCTTTCTTTAATCTGAGTCTCGCTGTGCGGAACCGCTGAAGGACGGCTCTAAGCCGTTCATCCAGGACCTCTGCGGTTTCTCCAGCGATGAGAACATCATCAAAGTATGGGCAGACCCCTGGAATGCCCCTGAGCATTCACTCCATTACTCCCTGGAAAATCCCTGGGGCTACACTCACCCCAACCTATAGGCGCTTGACCTTGAAGGCCCCCCGATGGGTGATGATGGTTTGGGCGGCTGCCATGGCCTTGTCCACCAGCAGCTGTTGGTAGGCCTGTGCCAAATCTAATTTAGTGAACACACAGCCACCTTGCAATGACGCCAAAATATGGCTGACAACTGGCACTGGGTACACGTGCTGCTGAAGTGTCTTGTTAATGGTACGCATATTCGCACTTCCCCGTTGGTCTCTAGTGGCATTACTATGGGGGTCTCCCACTCCCCACTGTCTACAGGCTGCAATACCCCCTGACTGACCAGCTTGTCCAGCTCTGTGTCGATTTTTTGTTTTAAAGCAAAAGGCACTCGACGAGGCTTGATCCGTATTGGCGTTACCATAGGATCAAGCTTGAAGGCTATCAGAGGACCCTTGTACTCCCCTAGGCATGAACTGAAAACATCTGAGAATTCTTGGCAGACTGAAGACAAATCCGCCACTTGTGTCTGGTGAATTTGGTTACTTGAATGCCCAATGCATTGAACCAATCAAGCCCTAGGAGGCTCGTGCGTTGGCCTTCTACCACAACAACATCAAGTGGGCCTGCAAACCCCTTGAAATTCACTAGAAATGTGGCTTCGCCCTTGACCACTACTCGGGAGTTTTGGAAGTCGATGAGCATTAAATTAGATGGCTGAAATTTGGCCCATCTATTGCTGCAGCTGCGTATGTGCTTAAATGTTCCTATAGAGATGATGGACATGGCTGAGCCTGTGTCTAGTTCCATCTTACATGGAACTCCCTGAAGCTTGACTTGGAGTCCAAGTTTTGGCTTAAGGGGGTGATGGACACCAGTGCGGTTCAGCTG